TCATCCCTCTCCCCCCCCTTCTCCCTAAATCCTCTGTGTCAGTGAACCCCTCCCGCATCTGAACTGGCTACATAGATGCATGTGACAACAGTAGGATCATATAAAGTATAGAATCACAAATTAATACATAAATACCACTTGAAGCTTGATGATGAGTTGATAATTTGAATCAGCTGTGTACAGTAGCGTTAAGACAAAAACATGCACCCCTTTGAGTCTACAGGACCAGGACTGAGAACCACTGCTCTTCATTGGGACCTCTTCATCTGCAGACAGGCTTTCACAGCTCTCTGTATCTGAGGACAGAAAACATCACAACAAACATTATACTCAAATTAGACAGCAATTAATATTATGTTACTATTATCTCTGTCCTCATTTCTAGGGACTGAAACTACACAAAAGTACCTGCCCTATCCAGAATAGCCTACTCTCTCACTTTGACAGTTGGGGCTGCTTTCACCCTCCTCCATGGCTGTTAGCTAGCTACCTACAAATGCATTTGGAGTTTGTTTTTTACAATAACAAATACATCAAGATAGTGAGCTAATATGAAGAAAACAGAGTTTATTCCTGTGAGAGTGTGATTTGAAGGAGTCAGGCGCAGGAGGGTAAATCACAGAATGCAGAGTTTATTCCGTAGTACACAGTTAAGCTGGATAGCGTCAACAGTCCAGTGCGCAAAACAGGTGCACTGGAACAAATACAGGCACACAGGGAAAATATACCCCAGCAATACAAAGTACAGGTAGCTCCACCGAGCTACACTTATCTCACATGAAACAATCACCCACAAGGACAAGGGGGCAGAGGGAACACTTATACATGTACTAATGAGGGGAATATGAACCAGGTGTGTGTAATTGACAAGACAAATGGAATGATGAGATATGCAGTGGCTAGAAGGCCAGTGACAACGAATGCTGAAGCCTGCCCGAACAAGGAGGGGAGGCAGCTTCGGAGGACGTCGTGACATATACAGTATGTAAAGTTGGCCAGATAGCTACCTAGCTATGTTAGCAGCTCATTTGAGTTAGCCTGCACAGCTAGTTAGCTAATAATACAGCGTCTTTCTTTACATTTTCAAAATGTATTTACTTACTTGAATAGGTTCTCCCAGCCATGTGGATGATTGGAAACAGGGCAGGAAAGTTTGTTTGAACAAGCTATGCAAAGTAGCTAGCTTAACGAGAGGTGACTATTGCAGTACTAAGCACAGTTCTAAACACACTTTCCCTTAAATCATGCCAACCAGCACTCCCATGTATATAGCAAGAGATAAGCTAACGTGACGTGAGTTACAGCCGACCCACACGTATAAAGCAATAAATAAGTTGTAAACGTGTGAGGTAGAATGCCCTGCCCCTTCAAGGTCAGGCAGTTTACACTGTTGGATTAATTATTTTTCCACAAGGAAAAGCTACAGCCATTAATGTCTCCTCTCCTTCATTCAGATAGTGTAGCCAAAGGCTGATAATGTAGGTCTGTAGTATGTAAATGTAATCTTTACTATTATACAGTATTGCTTAGAGTTTACAATAGACATAGTACAGTGCTTTCGGAAAGTATTCAGACCCCTTCAGTTTTTCCACATTTGTTACGTTACAGCCTTATTCTGAAATGGATTAAAGAAAAAAATTCCTCATCAATCTACACACAATACCCCATAATGACAAAGCGAAAAAGGTTTTTAGATATTTTTGCAAATGTATAAAAAAATAAATTTAAAACAACCTTATTTACATAAGTATTCAGACCCTTTGCTATGAGACTCGAAATTCAGCTCAGGTGCATCATGTTTCCATTGATCCTTGAGATGTTTCTACAACTTCATTGGAGTCCACCTGTGCTAAATTCAATTGATTGGACATGATTGGGAAAGGCACACACCTGTATATATGAAGGTCCCCAAGAACACAGTGGCCTCATTCTTAAATAGAAGAAGTTTGGAACCACCAAGACTCTTTCTAGAGCTGGCCACACGGTCAAATTGAGCAATCAGTGGAGACGGGCTTTGGTCAGGGAGGTGACCAAGAACCCGATGGTCACTCTGACAGAGCTCCAGAGTTCCTCTGTGGAAATGGGAGAACCTTCCAAAAGGACAACCATCTCTACAGCACTCCACCAATCAGGCCTTTATGGTAGAGTGACCAGACGGAAGCCACTCCTCAGTAAAAGGCACATGACAGCACGCTTGGAGTTTGCCAAAAGGCACCTAAAGACTCTCAGACCATGAGAAACAAGATTCTCTGGTCTGATGATACCAAGACACTTTGGCCTGAATGCCAAACGTCACGTCTGGAGGAAACCTGGCACCATCCTTACGGTGAAGCATGGTGGTGGCAGCATCATGCTGTGGGGATGTTTTTCAGCGGCAGGGACTGGGAGACTAGTCAGGATCGAGGCAAAGATGAATGGAGCAAAGTACAGAGAGATCCTTGATCCCTGCTCCAGAGCGCTCAGGACCTCAGACTGGGGCGAAGGTTCAGCTTCCAACAGGACAACAACCCTAAGCACAAAGCCAAGACAACGCATATTGTCCTTGAGTTGCCCAGCCAGAGCCCGGACTTGAACCTGAACGAACATCTCTGGAGAGACCTGAAAATAGCTGTGCAGCAACACTCCCCATCCAACCTGACAGAGCTTGAGAGGATCTGCAGATAATAAGTGCCAAGCTTGTAGCGTCATACCCAAGAAGACTCGAGGCTGTAATCGCTGCCAAAGGTGCTTCAACAAAGTACTGAGTAAAGGGTCTGAATACTTATGTAAATGTCATATTTCAGTGTTTAAATATATATATATAAATTAGCAAACATTTCTAAAAACCTGTTTTTGCTTTGTCATTATGGGGTATTGTGTGTAGATTGATGAGAAGAAGAAAAAAAAACAATTTAATCAATTTTATAATAATGCTATAACGTAACAAAATGTGGAAAAAGTCAAGGGGTCTGAATACTTTACGAAGACACTATGTGTATATATATATATATATATATATATATATATATATATATATATATTATTGCTATTTCTTCACAGTTACAGCGTAAACAATAATTGCACATGTGATATTATACAGTCCATTAAAATATAATATGGGATCAATTTCATAAGTATAAATAGGACAATTTCATTTCAATTCAGTCAATTATATTCAATTGTACCTTGGAATTGGAGATTAGAATTGGAATTTCTGTTTACTTCATGAATTGACTGAATTTAAATAAACAGAACAAAAATATAAACACAACATGTAAAGTGTTGGTCCCATGTTTCATGAGCTGAAATAAGATCCCAGAAATGTTCCATACACACAAAAAGCTTATTTCTCTCAAATGTTGTGCACAAATGTTTACATTCCTGTTAGTGAGCATTGGATCCTTTGTCAAGATAATCCATCCACCTGACAGGTGTGGCATATCAAGAAGCTGATTAAACAGCATGATCATTACACAGGTGCACCTTGTGCTGGGGACAATAAAAGGCCACTCTAAAATGTGCAGTTTTGTCACACAACACAATGCCACAGATGTCTCAAGTTTTGAGGGAGCGTTTAATTGGCATGCTGACTGCAGGAATGTCCACCAGAGCTGTTGCTAGATAATTTAATTTTAATTTCTCTATCATAAGCCACCTCCAACGTCGTTTTAGAGAATTTGTCAGTACGTCCAACCGGACTAAAACCCGCAGACCACGTGTAACCACCAGGCCAGGACCTCCACATCCGGCTTCTTCACCTGCGGGATCGTTTGAGACCAGCCACCTGGACATCTGATGAAACTGAGGAGTATTTCTGTCTTTAATAAAGCCCTTTTGTGGGGAAAAACAAATTCTGATTGGCTGGGCCTGGCTCCCCAGTCAGTGGACCTGGCTCCCAAGTGGGTGGGCCTATGCCCTCCCAAGCCCACCCATGTGAAATCCAGAGATTAGGGCCTAATGAATTTATTTCAATTTACTGATTTCCTTATATGAACTTTAACTCAGTAAAATCTTGAAATTGTTGCATGTTGCGCTTATATTTTTGTTCAGTATAGAATTGACCCCAACCCTGATAACAATAGACCAGGGATCATCAACTAGATTTAGCCGCGGGCCGATTTCTTCCTGAGCGGATGGTCGGGGGGCCAGAACATAATTACCAATAATTTGTAGACTGCAAATTCCTGCGTGGGAATAGTTGCGAACAGATTTCCAAAATTAAAATCAATTGGAGCTGATTTCCTGGTGTTTTTACAGTCTTTTACGGTCTTTTTTTTTTTTTTTTTTTTTTTTGAAAATTCAAAATTCATTTTATTTTAATAATTTGCTCAGAAAACCTGGGGGGCCAAATAAAACCACTCTCGAGCCAAATTTGGCCCGCGGGCCGCCAGCTGGGGAACCTTGCAATATACCACCCTAAAGGAATCCTGACATGCAAACTACAGTAAACGGAGCGTTGAGAAAGGGCAAGTTCATAATAATAATATGCCATTTAGCAGACGCTTTTATCCAAAGCGACTTACAGTCATGCGTGCATACATTTTTGTGTATGGGTGGTCCCGGGGATCGAACCCACTACCTTGGCGTTACAAGCGCCGTGCTCTACCAGCTGAGCTACAGAGGACCACATCACCTATGTCATTGTAAAAGCTGTGAATGTCTCCTTGTAGTTCTCATGCCTTGTGGCTTGCTCCACCTCGATTGTCTGCTCCATGGGCTCATCCTTCCCTAGAGTCAGACCACCAGCCACCACCTACATCTGGTCCTTTGGATCACTGGTTCAGCACAAACACAATGTAGGGTTACACAAATCACTTGCAGTGATCAGTGGGATTGTAATAAATACAGTGGGTCAGTGGTCTATATAGTATGGGTTCTATGTTGTCATGCATTGGTCCTTATGGATGCATGTGCATATATTATAGTTATGCTCACATACAGTGGTCAAAGGTCAGAGCCCAGCAGCTATTGATGAGCACCGCTCCACAGATGTGCCTGCACGCCTGGCTGGAGCCTTTGGGTCAGACCTGCAGGGACAGCTGCCAGGGCTGGGCTCCAGGGATGGCCTTCAGGCCTCCGTAGATCCTGGTAATGGCCTTCTTCGGGTGGGCGTCCCACAGGTGGTGAACTGCTTATCAGAGGTTGGGCTGGCTGTGGTCTGTCCTGGGGCTACACTGGGCTTTGGCACTGCTGTAGGCTTCTCTGGACCCTATGGGACTCCCAATCACGGCCGGTTGTGATACAGCCTGGAATCGAACCAGGGGGTCTGTAGTGACGCCTCTTGCACTGAGATGCAGTGCCTTAGACCGCTGCGCCACTCGGGAGCAAGATAAGTATATAAGGTGTATTTTTATACACATACTATATCTATGTATTGCGTAGCAAATGTTAATCACTTATAGGAATTATTAAAGGTAATTTAAGAGTAGGAGTGCTGTTCTAGGATCAGGGATCTGTTCTAGGATCAAACTCCCCCGTCCCTGCCGGTGACAAGCATACCCATAACATGATGCTGACACCACAATACTTGTTCCTGAGCGGTCTAGTCTCAGTCCTGACTTAAATTTGTTTGAAAATCAGAGAAGGTTTGAATATTGCTGTCATCAATAATTCCCAACCAAATGTAATGAGCTTTTGGATATATTTTGCACTAAGAGTTGCTCAAAGTTGGTAGAATCTTAATGAAATTATTCACAGGTGTAATGGCTACCAAAGGTGCTTCCACCATGTATTAATTCAGGAGGGTGGAGACCTTTATTATGATATTTCCGTATATGTATTTTTTCTTAATTTGGAAAATGTTCAATCACTTTCTTTCACTTTGAAAATGTGGAGTATGTTGTGTAGATCTGTAGGGGGAAAAACAAATGTAATCCCTTTTTAGATTGAATGTTAAGGCAGCAAAATGTGAAAAAGAAATTCTATAGGCACTGTATGTCATCAGACATTGTAAGAGACATTGTAACAGTAAGACTGCCTGTTATAGAAGCGAAGAAGTATAGAAATGACAAACTTTGTAAAAAATACATTGATTCTCATTAGGGCTGTCAAAGTTAACGCGTTAATGCATTACATATTTTATGCTGTTAATTTCTTTGATGCCATTAACACATTTTCTTAGTTTGACCCCCACCATAGTTAAATTCAAGCCCTGGCAGCCAATGTGCTAGTTTGACAACCACTTTACTAGCTAGCTAGCTACTTGTATGACTGAATGATGGAGACTTTTGTATTGCTTAACTTGTTTATGGTGAATATGCCATTAAAAACATTCTGATACAGAATATTTTTGTGTTTCAGTCCCCACATGCCTATAACTCAATACACTGCTTTTTTTAAATGGATGAATCTTCCTTTAGCACCCCATTTGAGAAAATATAAGATTCATGATTGACAGTCCCAATTCTCATACATTTTCTATTTGTTGGAAAGTAGCTCACAAATATATTTTGCTACCCTGAAAACGTATGTGACGCTCAATTTATTTTTCATGTCTTACCATCTGGTTCTTGGAGTTCATAAAGCCGGTCAGGATCTCAAAGAATGGGTCTAGAGCGGAGATACACTGTCAAATATTGCAGTGTTACATGGTCTCTCTCTGTGTGTGTGTGTGTGTGTGTGTGTAAGCCTCTTGTGAAGCCTACATTATGAAAGCCTACAGTGCATTATAAATAAATGCAGTAATGTGCTTAGGGGAGAGTGGGGTAAGTTGAGCCAAAGGGGTAAGTTGAGCCACCCTTGTTTCTAAGAAACCATACACAACATTTATAATTTCACCAAATATTTAGGAATAAAATATTGAATGGAGTCTGTGAAGGAAGAAACCACATGGAAAAAGTGGTAAGCAAGTTAGGTCCAAATAACAGATTTTTACCAAGTCAAATTAGTTTATTGTGGTAGAGGGTTCATGATGCTTGTATCGAAACCAAAGTAAATAATTTTAAGATTGTTCTATCAGTTGGGGTCTCTACAGTGGGGAAAAAAAGTATTTACTTTTTACTTATTCGCTTCTATAACAGGCAGTCTTACTGTTACAATGTCTATTACAATGTCTGATGACATACAGTGGGGAAAAAAAGTATTTAGTCAGCCACCAATTGTGCAAGTTCTCCCACTTAAAAAGATGAGAGAGGCCTGTAATTTTCATCATACGTACATGTCAACTATGACAGACAAAATGAGAAAAAAAATTCAGAAAATCACATTATAGGATTTTTAATGAATTTATTTGCAAATTATGGTGGAAAATAAGTATTTGGTCAATAACAAAAGTTTCTCAATACTTTGTTATATACCCTTTGTTGGCAATGACATAGGTCAAACGTTTTCTGTAAGTCTTCACAAGGTTTTCACACACTGTTGCTGATATTTTGGCCCATTCCTCCATGCAGATCTCCTCTAGAGCAGTGATGTTTTGGGGCTGTCGCTGGGCAACACGGACTTTCAACTCCCTCCAAAGATTTTCTATGGGGTTGAGATCTGGAGACTGGCTAGGCCACTCCAGGACCTTGAAATGCTTCTTACGAAGCCACTCCTTCGTTGCCCGGGCGGTGTGTTTGGGATCATTGTCATGCTGAAAGACCCAGCCATGTTTCATCTTCAATGCCCTTGCTGATGGAAGGAGGTTTTCACTCAAAATCTCACGATACATGGCCCCATTCATTCTTTCCTTTACACGGATCAGTCATCCTGGTCCCTTTGCAGAAAAACAGCCCCAAAGCATGATGTTTCCACCCCCATGCTTCACAGCAGGTATGGTGTTCTTTGGATGCAACTCAGCATTCTTTGTCCTCCAAAAACGACGAGTTGAGTTTTTACCAAAAAGTTATATTTTGGTTTCATCTGACCATATGACATTCTCCCAATCCTCTTCTGGATCATCCAAATGCACTCTAGCAAACTTCAGACAGGCCTGGACATGTACTGGCTTAAGCAGGGGGACACGTCTGGCACTGCAGGATTTGAGTCCCTGGCGGCGTAGTGTGTTACTGATGGTAGGCTTTGTTACTTTGGTCCCAGCTCTCTGCAGGTCATTCACTAGGTCCCCTCGTGTGGTTCTGGGATTTTTGCTCACCGTTCTTGTGATCATTTTGACCCCACGGGGTGAGATCTTGCGTGGAGTCCCAGATCGAGGGAGATTATCAGTGGTCTTGTATGTCTTCCATTTCCTAATAATTGCTCCCACAGTTGATTTCTTCAAACCAAGCTGCTTACCTATTGCAGATTCAGTCTTCCCAGCCTGGTGCAGGTCTATAATTTTGTTTCTGGTGTCCTTTGACAGCTCTTTGGTCTTGGCCATAGTGGAGTTTGGAGTGTGACTGTTTGAGGTTGTGGACAGGTGTCCTTTATACTGATAACAAGTTCAAACAGGTGCCATTAATACAGGTAACGAGTGGAGGACAGAGGAGCCTCTTAAAGAAGAAGTTACAGGTCTGTGAGAGCCAGAAATCTTGCTTGTTTGTAGGTGACCAAATACTTCTTTTCCACCATAATTTGCAAATAAATTCATAAAAAATCCTACAATGTGATTTTCTGGAAAAAAAATTCTCAATTTGTCTGTCATAGTTGACATGTACCTATGATGAAAATTACAGGCCTCTCTCGTCTTTTTAAGTGGGAGAACTTGCACAATTGGTGGCTGACTAATTACATTTTTTCCCCCACTGTATAAGCTTCCAAATTAGGTCCTACACCTAGCATGAAAGTGCATGATTGTGTTGAATTGTGTTTGGGGAATAAAGATAGACATGGTTTTAGAAAGGTAGTGGTAATATTTAATTCAGTACAGACATTTGTAGGCGGCTTAACTTACACTGTCCCGCGGCCCAACTTACCCCATACCCGGGGTAAGTTGTGCCGAGAGACCAATCTTTTTGGAAAGCTGTTTTCAAAACTATAATGTTTACATACTTTCAGATTTTTTCCTGAAATACAGTATATGTAAATACAGTATCTGTTAGAAAGAATACTATATTTCCCTTGACTGAGTGATGCTGAATCTTCAGAATATCCTGATGTATTCCGTGTTTTTTTTTCAATCTTTTGTTGTTGCGTTTCTCATGTTTCTTATGTTTTTTATGCTTCTCATTTTTAACTGAATAAAATATTTCATCATTCTTATTTCAACCAAGTAACATTATGGACAGTAGTAGGCATATTTAATACATCTACTGTATATTTCACCAATGATATGGCCAACAAAAAAGCAGAGTAGGCCTAATGCAAGCACTCATGCAATGTTTACAAAAACTGTTCTAAATGATAATTTTATCCAGGAATTATACTGACGACATTATTCTATTTGAGATTTTATTGAACGCAGCTAAATAAATGATTAAACAACTGGAGACATGTTGTAAAGGAGAGAAAACACATTCGACAGGCGTTTACTCTAAACTTGCTACAAAGTCTATCACCCTATAACAAGTATTCCTGATATCTCCGGCAAAAAAAAAAAAGTCAAAAGGGTGGAATACCTACTTGAACAGGTAGGATGAGCACTACAGGGAACAGGCAGAAGAAGAGCAGCTTGGAGTTCATGATGGCAGTGATCAATGTGCGGCTATGAGAGTGATTCTGTCAGATCACCCACATAATTTTGCAACCATTTGTGTGAGAAGACTAACCTTTGTATGGACAGAGTGCTTTGGCATCTAGGTCTCTCATCGCACACTACAGTTCTATTGACTAAGGGGGTGTCAGTCAGAGTTTTTCTCATTTCATGAGAGCTCACCTTAAATTATGTAACACATCTGATAAACAAACATACACATTATCTGCAACTCTAACTGTAAGTGATTCAGCAATGCAAGGGGGACTGAACTAGATTGTTTGTATATCTAGATTGTTTGCATATATAATTAGCACATAGGCCTAGTCATTTACTATTGGATATTAACATTGGGGCTCACAGATCCTATTTACACAGAGATTGTCGTTTGTTTGAGTATAGACTTTGGATTCACATCACGTTAGCTGTGTAGGTTACTCTTGAGTCCAGGGGCATGAAGTACATTTCAGGACAAACATCTTACCTCTGTGACCCTGTGGTTTACTAAGAGCAGGTTAGTGTTTTTCGTCATGAATCTTGTTCTGGAGGCAGCTCTGCAGAGTGGTCACTAGCTGGCACAGCCACAAAGTCATACATTCAGATTTTAAACCTAACCCTAACCTTAACCACATTGCGAACCATAATGCTTAACCGTAACCTTAAATTAAGCCCAAAAAGCAAATGTTTTTCATGAATTTTTACAATATAGCCAATTTTGACTTTTCAGCTGGCCCATCTAGCGGAAAAACACTAAAAACAGTATGTGGACACCCTTTCAAATTAGTGGATTCGGCTATTTCAGCCACACCTGTTGCTGACAGGTGTATAAAATCGAGCACACCGCCATGCAATCTCCATAGACAAACATTGGCAGTAAAATGGCCCGTACTGAAGAGCTCAGTGACTTTCAACATGGCACCGTCATAGGATGCCACCTTTCCAACAAGTCAGTTCGTCAAATGTCTGCCCTGCTAGAGCTGCCCTGGTCAACTGTAAGTGCTGTTATTGTGAAGTGGAAACATCTAGAAGCAACAACGGCTCAGCTGCGAAGTGGTAGGCCACACAAGCTCACAGAATGGGACCGCCGCGTGTAAAAATTGCCTGTCTTCGGTTGCAACACTGACTACCGAGTTTCAAATTGCCTCTGGAAGCAACGTCAGCACAAGAACTGTTCGTCGGGAGCTTCATGAAATGGGTTTCTATGGTCGAGCAGCCGGACACAAGCCTAAGATCACCATGCACAATGCCAAGCGTTGGCTGGAGTGGTTTCCACTGCTCCATTAGACTGGAGCAGTGGAAACGCGTTTTCTGGAGAGATGAATCACACTTCACCATCTGCCAGTCTGACGGACAAATCTGCGTTTTGCAGATGCCAGGAGAACACTACCTGCCCGAATGCATAGTGCCAACTGTAAAGTGTGGTGGAGGAGGAATAATGGTCTGGGGCTGTTTTTCATGGTTCGGGGTAGGCCACTTAGTTCCAGTGAAGGGATATCTTAACGCTACAGCATACAATGACATTCTAGATGATTCTGTGCTTCCAACTTTGTGGCAACAGTTTGGGGAAGGCCCTTTCCTGTTTCAGCATGACAATGCCCCCGTGCACAAAGCGAGGTCCATACAGAAATGGTTTGTTGAGCATCGGTGTGGAAGAACTTGACTGGCCTGCACAGAGCCCTGATCTCAACCCCATCAAACACCTTTGGGATGAATTGGAATGCCGACTGCAAGCCAGGCCTAATCGCCCAACATCAGTCCCCGACCTCACTAATGCTCTTGTGGCTGAATGGAGGCAAGTCCCCGCAGCAATGTTCCAACATCTAGTGGAAAGCCTTCCCAGAAGAGTGGAGGCTGTTATAGCAGCAAAGGGGGGACAAACTCTATATTAATGCCCATGATTTTGGAATGAGATGTTCGATAAGCAGGTGTCCACATACTTTTGGTCATGTAGTGTATTTATGAATCACGAAAGAAAGAAGACAGTGTTTTGATTCATTCTGAAAATTGCCACATTCAGTTCTTCAAGGGAAAGGGGATACCTAGTCAGTTGCACAACTGAATGCATTCAACCGAAATGTGTCTTCCACATTTAACCCAATTCCTCTGAATCAGAGAGGTGCGGGGGGCTGCCTTAAACGACATAATCGGCACCTGGGGAGCAATTGTTGTTGGGGGTTAACTGCCTTGCTCAAGTGCAGAATGGCAGATGTATTGTTATTAGGCCTACTGACGGTCAATACTGATAGTGGCTAATATCTAACATGATAGAAGTAGGAAACAGACAAAGTCGGGGTAGCCTATAATTAAGATATTCGAGAGTGCCAATCCCTGCAAGTTAAAAGGCCGTACAATTTAAATTCTGCATAATGGCACAGCCTTTCATAATCTTTACTGTGGGAAAGTTGATATGTTGATATGCTTCAGTTTGCTGCCATATAACTGGTTTCACATTTGTCTCCAGTGATTATAAAATAAAAAATATCTAAAACAAGTGTAATTAATATTTACAATCCCCTTATCCAAACAGATTACTCATTTACCTAGCTCTTATCAATAACTATTATCAAATTGTAAATTACAGTGCATGGAGAATTATGTTATTTCTATCGGAAAATATTAAGTAGATGCTTTTTCCACTAGGAACCGGTAGGTTTATGGTTTCCTCTCGCATAAAAGTGGTGGAATTATTAGGGCATTAAGTCAAGGTCAGAATAGGGCGTATCTGTAGACACACCTCTGCCACACCTTAATTTATTAGATCTCCACCCCAAAAGAATATCGGGTGAATAGCGTGCTATTCTCAGATCTAAGTTCAAGGTCAGAATAAGCGTAAAGAGAAAAGTGCATAAAAAGGGAATTACATTCCATTTACACGTGCTTAACTCGGGCCGGGATCGGCCTTTTTGAGAATTGAGTCAGTAGAAGCATCATAAAGAGCAGAGTCAGCATTCTTGGGCATTCTGGAAAGAACTAGGAGTTGGAGGTGCGTTACAGATCAAAATGGGTTTGGCGTTTGTACCGTTGTGGTCGTGACCTGGGCACAACGCCAGGTGGAGACAGTCCTTAAACGCCCCCGCACAAAACGAGAACAGAGGGGTCATACTGTCCGCCCCCAGGAAAGACACCAGGCCCGCTGGGAAACTACACAGGACCCCAATACGGCTCAAGTGTTTTGTGACAGGCAGCTGGTGGGGCACCCCACCGTGCCAGGCTGTGTACTCCCCGTCAAAGAACTCAATGGCCCAGGAGTCAGAGCCGCGGCCCAGCCAGCAGTCCTCGGACCGGCCCTTGCGGGAGATGGTGGGGTAGGTGAGGCCCAGTTCCCAGTAAGTCTTCCCAGCCACATCTATCTCCCAGTAGTGACGCCCGGAGCTGAAGCCCTGCAGGCTGATCACGTTGAGGGTGGTGTCAAAGCGGCCAGGGAGCTCTGGTAGTTCCTGCCAGGTGTCTGTGTAGGTGGCACTGTCACCGCACAGGGAGATGACCAGCTTGGGGTGCGCAGTCTCTGGGTCCAGGGACACCTCTGTGGAATCTGGGGACAGAGGTGTATTTTTCCCATGAGAAAATACTATATATTTAAAATACAATATTATAATTGGCTGGATGTGGCAAGGCATAACCACTTTGTGCTGTGAGTTTTAATAACATGCATTTTTAAGGACAAAAACATGCTGCATGTTATAATGGCATACCTGCACTTATAAATTATAGATGTAACAAATGTATCTATAATGAAATACACTTTTTGAATTGTTTTAGAATTTCCGCAGTACTCTGATAGACCACTATGTGTAGAGGATCCATGGTACAAAAAGAAGCCCTGCCTATCTCTCCACTTCCAGTTGTAATTACCTATGTTTCCATTAACTTTCCCAGTGATTTTTTTGTCGACATTTAGAAAGCTTGCATAGAAAATAGATGCTACAATTGCCTGCTACGGTGCGTTTCCATTGAACTATCTTGTGTCAATAAAAACAGCTGGATGTAATGAAGTCACCCCCCCACCCCCAAAAAAACATTTGTTCGCCAAAACCTACAGTGTCAAATAAAAATGAAGTGGTTGAAGTTTTTCCATTACCCATTTAGGCAAATTCTGCATTAATAAATTGTCTACAGCCTCCCACCTATCTGTTTCATGTCTCAGTTAGTCCACGAAAGCCAAATGTGACATATTCTAACAATTATCATGTGCCAACGTATCGCCACGGTCCGTGCAATGGTGAAACTGGCACTCCTGTAGATCTGAAATAATTGGATCGTGAAACTTGCATCTAGCCAACAAGAAAAGCAAGGAGACGCAATTCAGGTATTCTTGAAAGTCAGGACTATCCTTGTCCTGCAAGTAAACATTATTTTTTATAGTTGAATTTTTTTATTTTGCAAGCAGTAGACATTTAGAATGAAATGTAGAGTGGAGCTTTATAATTACGTGATGACATCACGTCCCGCGTACCTTAAAAATTATTTGGCAATCATCATTTATTTGAAATGATGTTTCTATCATTATTTGTCGCAATGAAGAAAGTTAGACACAATAAAAATCCCCCCTGTCGAATGGATACAAATGTTGTCAATCTTTAGAAAATGTCTCCTACAGTGGGGAGAACAAGTATTTGATACACTGCTGATTTTGCAGGTTTTCCTACTTACAAAGCATGTAGAGGTCTGTAATTTTATCATAGGTACACTTCAACTGTGAGAGACAAATCTAAAACAAAAATCCAGAAAATCACATTGTATGATTTTTAAGTAATTAATTTGCATTTTATTGCATGACATAAGTATTTGATACATCAGAAAAGCAGAACTTAATATTTGGTACAGAAACCTTTGTTTGCAATTACAGAGATCATACGTTTCCTGTAGGTCTTGACCAGGTTTGCACACACTGCAGTAGGGATTTTGGCCCACTCCTCCATACAGACCTTCTCCAGATCCTTCAGGTTTCGGGGCTGTCGCTGGGCAATACGGACTTTCAGCTCCCTCCAAAGATTTTCTATTGGGTTCAGGTCTGGAGACTGGCTAGGCCACTCCAGGACCTTGAGATGCTTCTTACGGAGCCACTCCTTAGTTGCCCTGGCTGTGTGTTTTGGGTCTTTGTCATGCTGGAAGACCCAGCCACGACCCATCTTCAATGCTCTTACTGAGGGAAGGAGGTTGTTGGCCAAGATCTCGCGATACATGGCCCCATCCATCCTCCCCTCAATACGGTGCAGTTGTCCTGTCCCCTTTGCAGAAAAGCATCCCCAAAGAACGATGTTTCCACCTCCATGCTTCACGGTTGGGATGGTGTTCTTGGGGTTGTACTCATCCTTCTTCTTCCTCCAAACACGGCGAGTGGAGTTTAGACCAAAAAGCTCTATTTTTGTCTCATCAGAACACATGACCTTCTCCCATTCCTCCTCCGGATCATCCAGATGGTCATTGGCAAACTTCAGACGGGCCTGGACATGCGCTGGCTTGAGCAGGGGGACCTTGCGTGCGCTGCAGGATTTTAATCCATGACGGCGTAGTGTTACTAATGGTTTTCTTTGAGACTGTGGTCCCAGCTCTCTTCAGGTCATTGACCAGGTCCTGCCGTGTAGTTCTGGGCTGATCCCTCACATTCCTCATGATCATTGATGCCCCACGAGCTGAGATCTTGCATGGAGCCCCAGACCAAGGGTGATTGACCGTCATCTTGAACTTCTTCCATTTTCTAATAATTGCACCAACAGTTGTTGCCTTCTCACCAAGCTGCTTGCCTATTGTCCTGTTGCCCATCCCAGCCTTAGGCAGGTCTACAATTTTATCCATGATGTCCTTACACAGCTCTCTGGTCTTGGCCATTGTGGAGAGGTTGGAGTCTGTTTGATTGAGTGTGTGGACAGGTGTCTTTTATACAGGTAACAAGTTCAAACAGGTGCAGTTAATACAGGTAATGAGTGGAGAACAGGAGGGCTTCTTAAAGAAAAACTAACAGGTCTGTGAGAGTCGGAATTCTTACTGGTTGGTAGGTGATCAAATACTTATGTCATGCAATAAAATGCAAATTAATTACTTAAAAATCATACAATGTGATTTTCTGATAAAAATTACAGACCTCTACATGCTTTGTAAGTAGGAAAACCTGCAAAATCGGCAGTGTATCAAATACTTCTCCCCAAAAGAATTTTTTGCGACATTGCTTTTGTTGAATAAACGTGTGTCAATGGAAACCAGCCTAGTGACATCATAGAGAATCTTGAGAATTAAATCATAATAATTAAAAGACGTCATGGAATACTAAGGGAACTCACAGCTCTTGATGAGTCTCTTGGTAATGGGGGTCTGGGACCGGATGAGTAGCAGCATGTTGTTGGTGAGACTGAGAATCTGGTCAGCTTTAGGCTCATCCAGGTTCACTTTGCTGGGGTCTGTCCTGCTCAGCAGATCCATCACTCTGGAAGAGAGAGGACAATTACCAACATTTCCAGCCTGGTCTCATAGACTAAATGTAACATAGTAAATGTAAATCTGGCTCCATCAAATTAGTATGATATGTTACGTTTGATATGGTTACATAAGACAGATGGTTACTTAAGGAAAAAACAAAAGTAGGGTAGTTGGTTGGGTTGTATGGGTGGGCGTATAACGCGAACGTCTAGCAACTCAAAGGTTGAGAGTTTGAAATCTCATCATGGACAATTTTAGCATTTGAGCTAATTAGCAACTTGTCAACTACTTACTACTTTTTAGCTACTTTGCGACTACTTAGCATGTTAGCTAACCCTTCCCCTAACCCTAACCTTAACCCTTTTAGCTAACCTTTCCCCTAACCTTAACCCTTTTAGCTAACCCTTACCCTAACCTTAACCTAACTCCTAAACTTAACCCTAACCTAGCTAACTTTAGCCACCTAGCTAGAATTCGTAACAAATCATATGCTTTGCAAATTCGTAACATATAACACAAATTGTAATTCGTAACATGTCATACGAAATAGGTGATGGACATCCACAAATGAATACATACCATACGAAACGTAACATATCTTACGAAATGGGGTGTCCCGGATATACATACAGAATAATACGAAATGCTCTGAGACTAGGTTGACATTTACTTCAGTGCCCTCACATGAACAGTAGCCAGGTCTCCATTGACCCAGGTTTATTCGACAAAAACTATGTCTCAACAAAAAAAATAGCGACATGTGTAATGGAAATGGCAGATATAGGATAAATGTTCTAAAGATCGATAACATTTTTATCTGTTCAACAGGGGTGGATTTCTCTTTTGTCAAACTTTATTGCGACAAATGATGATGGAAAAGGTGTTTTTCGAATACATGATGATTGCCGAATGAATAATTTTGAAGGTATGCGGGGCAGACGACGTCATCACGTAACTATAAAGCTCCACTTCACATTTACTAAATGTCTACTGCTTGCAAAATCAATTTTTTTCAACTATACAAAAATGTTTATTTGCAAGACACAGATTGTCCTGACTTTCAAGAATTCCGGAATTGCTTCGCCTTGCTTTTCTGGTTGGCTGGCAAGTTTCACCACCAATGACTTAAGATCTACACGAATTCAAGTTTCACCATGGCACGGACCATGGCGATACGTTGGCGCATGAGAATTGTTAGTATATGGCAAATATTTGTCAATTATTGCATTCTATCCATGCTGGCTTTCACAGGCTACTTGAGACATGAAACAGATAGGTGGGAGGGCATACAGCCTGTCGCCAATTTATTAATGCGCAATTTGCCTAAATGGGTAATGGAAATACTTAAACCACTACATTTTAATTTGACACTGTAGGCTTTTGCGGAAAAGTGTTTTGGTTGTTGGTGTAACAGCAGTACATCCAGCTGTTTTTATCGACACAAGATAGTTAAATGGCGTATTAGAAACAACAAATGTATTTGGATCAAATTACATACCTGCCTTCTATATCTGTGTCCTAGAGTCGATGTGGAGGAAATAAAGACAGTGATCGTGAATACAACAGGCAGTAAACAATTTCTACATATCATAGTTACATCCATCAACAATATCCATCACATGAGTTTATGTTAAATAGAACTGAAGAGCCAAATCACCATTGAATCAGGCAGAAGAATGTCCTTCTGGGCCAGCTCAGCGGTGAGCCTAGCCAGATCCTGCTCTATCTCCTGGATGATGATACAATTCTTTTCCATCAGGTCCTCCAGGGCTGTGACTGCAGCTCTCTCCTCCATCTCCAGCTGGGTCAGAGTCATCCTCAGGTCCTCATTCAGAACCCTCTGGATGTCCTCATACTTCTTCCTTATACTCTCCCTCATCGCTGAGGACTTTTTCTGGTTGTGGGACACAGAGCCAGTCAATGCCAAAGTCATTGCAACATATCCCATCTTATAGTTTATATGCTACCATGTTGTGCGTGTTTTTCACCACAAATAGCTGCCATAGAAATATACATGTGACATGTGACCATAGAAATATAATTACTAGAAGGACCAAAGCCCCTCAGACCATGTCAATTTGACTGGAACACTCATGTGTGCATTCAATATGTCTGACATGGTATTGTGACGCTTGTGACCTTGTTCACACAGATGAATTCCCATGCTGTTTACTTACAATGATTTCAGTTTGCTTTGCGCTTATTTTCTTCATTCGGAGCTTCACAGCCTCTCTTTGCCTCTTCAGACATTCTTGGTGCTTCAACTGCATCTCCTGAGGACAGAATAAAAAGTAGCACACACCTGATCCTGAGTCTTCATCTTCAAGGCCTTATTCTAAGTGAGATGATAAGTTATACCAATGAAGAAGAGCTGACGAAATTGCAAAGGGAAGTTGTAATAAACCAAAGACTTCTAGTCCTGTGTCAGTGAGTCTTAAATCTCTATAGACTAGTCTCATTCACGTCCAGCTCATGTGTCTGTCTGCTTGTCTCTCTTCCTCTGTTTATAGAATGGCCTATCTCATACATACCACACCTACAGTTAAAGTCAGAAGTTTACATACACTTAGGTTGGAGTCATTAAAACTCGTTTTTCAACCACTCCACAAATTACTTGTTAACAAACTATAGTTTTGGCAAGTCGGTTAGGACATCTACTTTGTGCATGACACAAGTAATTTTTCCAACAATTGTTTACAGACAGATTATTTCACTTATAATTCACTGTATCACAATTCCAGTGGGTCAGAAGTTTACATACACTAAGTTGACTGTGCCTTTAAACAGCTTGGAAAATTCCAGAAAATGATGTCGTGGCTTTAGAAGCTTCTGATAGGCTAATTGACATAATTTGAGTCAATTGGAGTTGTACCTGTGGATGTATTTCAAGGCCTACCTTCAAACTCAGTGCCTCTTTGCTTGACATCATGGGAAAATCAAAAGAAATCAGCCAAGACCTCAGAAAAAAAATTGTAGACCTCCACAAGTCTGGTTCATCCTTGGGAGCAATTTCCAAATGCCTGAAGGTACTACGTTCATCTGTACAAACAATAGTACGCAAGTATAAACACCATGGGACCACGCAGCCGTCATACCGCTCAGGAAGGAGACGCATTCTGTCTCCTAGAGATTAATATACTTCGGTGTGAAAAGTGCAAATCAAACCCAGAACAACAGCAAAGGACCTTGTGAAGATGCTGTAGGAAACAGGTACAAAAGTATCTATATCCACAGTAAAACTAGTCCTATATCGACATAACCTGAAAGGCCGCTCAGCAAGGAAGAAGCCACTGCTCCAAAACCACCATAAAAAAGCCAGACTATGGTTTGCAACTGAACATGGGGACAAAGATTGTACTTTTTGTAGAAATGTCCTCTGGTCTGATGTAACAGAAATAGAACTGTTTGGCCATAATGACCATCATTATGTTGCAAGCTGAAGAACACCATCCCAACCATGAAGCACGGGGGTGGCAGTATCATGCTGTGGGGGTGCTTTGCTGCAGGAGGGCCTGGTGCACTTCACAAAATAGATGGCATCATGAGGAAGGAAAATTATGTGGATATATTGAAGCAACATCTCAAGACTTCAGTCAGGAAGTTAAAGCTTGGTCGCAAATGGGTCTTCCAAATGGACAACGACACCAAACATACTTCCAAAGTTGTGGAAAAATGGCTTAAGGACAATAAAGTCAAGGTATTGGAGTGGCCATCACAAAGCCCTGACCTCAATCCTATAGAAAATGTGTGGGCAGACCTGACTCAGTTACACCAGCTCTGTCAGGAGGAATGGGTTAAAATTCACCCAACTTATTGTGGGAAGCTTGTGGAAGGCTACCCGAAACATTTGACCCAAGTTAAACAATTTAAAGGCAATGTTACCAAATACTAACTGAGTGTATGTAAACTTCTGACCCACTGGGAATGTGATAAAAGCTGAAATAAATCATTCTCTCTACTATTATTCTGACATTTCACATTCTTAAAATAAAGTGGTGATCCTAACTGACCTAAGACCGGGAATTATTACTAGGATTAAATATCAGGAATTGTGAAAAACTGAGTTTAAATGTATTTGGCCAAGGTGTATGTAAACTTCCGACTTCAACTGTAGGCATGGGATTGTTACAATCATCTTGAGCTGTCTGTCACAATTCACTCAAAGACACTATGCTGTAAATGACTCCAGACAGACCATGCAGGTCATCAGGCATCTGTCTTCCAAGTTCCAGTGTCATTGTTGTCAACTCTTTTCCATGATTTTAGTTTTGGATTGGTCAATCTTTGCCAATGGAAATCACTAGATGACAATGTGACATCCATCATGATGGGCCCTGTGTAGCTCAGTTGGTAGAGCATGGCACTTGCAACGCCAGGATTGTGGGTTCGATTCCCATGAGGGGCCAGTATGAAAATGTATGCACTCACTAACTGTAAGTCGCTCTGGATAAGAGCGTCTGCTAAATGACTAAAATGTAAATGTAATGATGTCACAGCTCTCCATTGAGCATGCTATTTAGTTCAGGACTAGGGTTAACCTGTGTCCGGTAAACCCTACATATTGTCTAACATTTTGTATACTTGTGTGAATGGATCCCTGGCAAATGACTAAATAATGTTGTTATGAGGTAATGTAAGCAGGCTATAAGCTAACAGAGGTTTATGTATTTATGTATTGGTCCTTTTTTTGGGGAGGGGGTGTTACAGGTACATTATTTCTTTCATATTATATGTTTCTAAAACATGTACCTGTAGGCTGCCACTCAAAAGAAGAAGAAAAAAAACCCAGTAAGAAATACATCGAGTTTAAGTGATAATAAATTCGGTATAAACAGGAAAAGAAAACCGTCTCCATACCATCCCTTCCACATGGGCCTGAATGCAAAGAAAGTAAAACATATAAAAATAGGTATATATACAGTAGTCAAGTCAAAAGTTTGGACATACCTACTCATTCCAGGATTTTTCTTTATTTTTACTATTTTCTACATTGTAGAATAATAGCGAAGACATCAAAATAACACATATGGAATCATGTAGTAATGAAAAAGTGTTAAACAAATCAAAATATATTTTATATTTGAGATTCTTCAAAGTAGCCACCCTTTGCCTTGATGACAGCTTTGCACACTCTTGGCATTCCCTCAACCATCTTAATGAGGTAGTCACCTGGAATGCATTTCAATTAACAGGTGTGCCTTGTTAAAAGTTAATTTGTGGAATTTCTTAATGTGTTTGAGCCAATCAGATGTGTTGTGACAAGGTAGGGATGGTATACAGAAGATAGCCCTATTTAGTAAAAGGCCAAGTCCATATTATGGCAAGAACAGCTCAAATAAGCAATGAGGAATGACAGTCCATCATTACATTAAGACATGAAGGTCAGTCAATCCAGAAAATGTCAAGAACTTTGAAAGAAGAAATGGAGGAGGAGGTGTGATGGTGTGTGGGTGCTTTGCTGGTGACACTGTCTGTGATTTATTTAGAATTCAAGGCACACTTAACCAGCATGGCTACCACAGCATTCTGCAGCGATACGCCATCCCATCTGGTTTGCGCTTAGTGGGACTATCATTTGTTTTTCAACAGGACAGTGACCCAAAACACACCTCCAGGCTGTGTAAGGGCTATTTGACCAAGAAGGAGAGTGATGGATGGCTGCATCAGATGACCTGGCCTCCACAATCATCCGACCTCAACCCAATTGAGATGGTTTGGGATGAGTTGGACTGCAGAGTGAAGGAAAAGCAGCCAACACGTGCTCAGCATATGAGGGAACTCCTTCAAAGCTGTTGGAAAAGCATTCCAGGTGACTACCTCATGAAGCTGGTTGAGAGAATGCCAAGAGTGTGCAAAGCTGTCATCAAGGCAAAGGGTGGCTACTTTCAAGAATCTAAAATCTAAAATCTATTCCATATGTGTTTTCTCATAGTTTAATGTCTTCACTATTATTCTACAATGTAGAAAATAGTAAAAGTAAAGAAAAACCCTTGAATGAGTAGGTGTGTCCAAACTTTTGACTGGTACTGTACATATTGTTTGTATGTGTTGGGCTTTATGCATTTTTTATTTGTATGTGTTGGGCTTTAGCTGAGCTTATTCTTTACAGCAGTGGTCACCAACCTTTTCTGAGTCAAGATCACTTTCGCAGTCAAAAAGCAAGCCGAGATCTACCGCTCAGAATTGTTTTTAACATGACTTTAAAAATGTAACATTAACCTAATAAAAAGTAGGTTTGTGCGGTAGGCCTAATACATTATCACAGCATATTGGCTATATGCCTAGCCTGCCAATATTGTTCTTCTCAGATCATATATTTCAAAACTCAAGCTTTGATAACAACATAGGTCAGTTAGAGTACCACTTGCGAGGCAAAGCTGAGCATACATTTAAATAATTCGCTTTTTTTATTTTACTGGACTGATGGTACCTGCATTTGATGGTCATGGTGCTTTCAAGACAACTGGAAACTCGGGAAAGAACAAGGTCAAATCATGATGCCAGGGATCTTCATGTCGGAAAGTCGGAGCTCTAGAAAGATGCCAGAGTTTCCGACTTGGAATTCAGAGTTTGATGACTGTACAAAACTATTTTTCCCAGTTGGATCTCGTTCTTTTCAGAGTTCCCAGTTGTCTTGAACGCACTGAAGTCGGAAGTCAGAGATTTCCGAGTTCCCAGTTGTTTTGAACACAGCATTAGTCTCAGCGGAAAGAGGGAGAGAGTAGCAGAGGGTCCGCCTATCACGGTCCCTGCACTCTCCTTCCTTTCCTCCAGAGAGGGACACAGTCTTCCACCTGATGGAGAAAACTCGAGTCGCACTGCCTCATGCACATATTCATGTTGTTCCTATCACCAGAAAAAGTGAAATATTCCTCAATATTAAAATACGCACGACGAGCTGCTAATAATAATAAAAACGCAGGTCTATCGATACAGTTGGCTACTCATTCATTGCAGCTGAAGCGTGAGTGGAAATAGGGAGAAGCGCGTTTTGTGTTTTGTAATAGTGTTGAATTAAAAACAGTGTTGACAGTCCTGAATAAAAACTTTGACATGAACTCACTCATAAAAACAGCATCTCTTTGCTGTATTCTTTGACAGTCTCTCTCTGGTCCAGGTTTTAAAAGTTATGAAATCTCACGTAGGCTAGTATCAAACTTTGCTGTGGCCAGGATCATGGAACCTGTAGGCATGGTGATCTGAGCTATCCTATTGGCAGTATGTGCACTCAATTTAGCCACAGATCTACCAGTCCGCCGGGTAGGCAGAG